ACACTGAGACTGAGTAAAGCCTTCTTGGAGTAGAGCCTGAGAGAATTTGTAAAACCATTGTTATGAAGCTTGCATCAACCCATAAATTGACTTGGTGTAAACGACAAACTGTTTTCTGTGGAAGAATCTCCCCATCTCGAGGAGAATATCCTGGAGTAATAGTCATGCAAACCTCTTCTGGGAGATCACCGTGAAGAAAAACATTGGTGACATCCAACTGAGTAAGAGTCTAACCCAGAATTGCTGCAAGAGACAGTAAAACCTTAATAGTAACCAGTTTGGCGACCAGTGAGAATGTATTAATGAAGTCAACACTAAACTGTTGGGTAAAACCCTTGACGACAAGGTAGGCCTTGTGCCGCTCGATAGTACCATCAGACTTATACTTAATCTTGTAGACCCACTTGCAATCAACTTGTTTCTTGCCTGGAGGGAGAGACATAACAGACCAAGTATCATCACTTTCAAGAGTGCACAACTCAGTATGCATTGCATCTCTCTAAACTGCCAACCAAACTGCCTCGAAAAACGACTGGGGCTCAATGTGAGAAGAAAGTGCAAGTATAAAATTGTGATAATGAGGTGTGAGTCTACGGTAAGTGAGAAATGATGAATAGGATATGTGACTGTGGGGGTATTAGTATGATAGCAGTGATAGTCAGCCAAGTAAGACGAAGTTCGTGTGACACGCTGAGGATGAATCGGAACACAAGGAAGAGATTGTGGAGAGGAAACATGAGAAGGAGGTGGTGTAGGGAGATCAAGGGAAACAGGTAAAACACGATCTTGAAAAAACTCTAGATGAGGAATACTTAGAGATGGAGTAGAGAAAGGAAAAAGAGTCTCATGGAAGGTAACATCAGGAAAAATATGGATTTAGTTAGTTTTTAAGTCAAGGAGTTTGTAGCCCTTGAACCCAGAAGGATAACCGAGGAAGACACATGCACGAGAACGAGGAGATAATTTATGACGCTGACTCATGAGGGTAGAACTGTAACACAGGCATCCGAAAGTACATAAATAATCATAACATGGCCTTTTAGATGTCAGAAGCTTAAAAGGAGTCTTATGTGAGAGTAAAGGAGACAGAATGCGGTTAATGATATAAACAACGGTCAATATACAGTCACCCCAATACACCAAGGGAACATGAGACTAGAAAAGTAAAGCCTAGGCGACATTTAAGATATGATGATGTTTACGCTCGACAATAAAATTTTGTTGCAGAGTTTCAACATAAGAGTGATATGAAAGAATCCCTTTAGATTTAAAAAATGAATGAAAGATTAACTCATGTGCATTGTTGGACTTCACAGAATTGATATGAATTTTATATTGAGTGAGAATAAAAGTATAAAAGTCAGGAAAAATGGTAAGGACATCAGATTTATGGTGAAGTAGATAAACCCAAGTAGTACGAGTGCAATCATCAACAATAGTAAAAAAATAACGATACCCCTCAATGGTAGGAGTATAAAATAGTTCCCAAATATCAATGTGAATCAAATCGAAAGAATTAT